TAAATACATAAGCCTTTAGAAGCAGGTTCTTTCCCAGATCACAAATATAATACCAAAATACCAAAATTCAAGATTGCGTAAGTTGTCCCATGTACCTGTATCCCTATACAATAACTATCAGAAATATGAAAGGAATAGCAGTTCAGTAACTAGTGGTTCAGTTTATCAGTACCTAAAGGTGAAGATGGGTGGACTTACTTTAAATATATTTATTTATTTATTATTATTAAAAGGGAATACGTCACTGGATGCAAAACTAAGATCAAATGCTGCATTTAGGTTTACTGATTCTATATTCACTTCATATATTTGGACATATACTCCCAATCAAAAGGTCACCCAGGAAGCAGATGATGACTTTGGCAAATACGGATAAGTTTATCATTTATATCTGACACTTACATATTCTATGTGGATATACATCCTCTAATTTTATTATCTGTTGCTCTGCCTTAACAGTACATCTACAGACATAATGCAGGCCCATGCAGTTGCAAGAGCTAAACAACCCAATGTAAGTCATTTAGATTCCCTTTTAAATAGTTGAAATTGTAAACATTTCTCAAATACTTAGCTTTGTATGAACATTTTTAAGATACCTCTTAAATGGAAACAAACTGCAAGTGTTTTTTACTTTTTAGTGTTAACATTCTTACAAATGTTTAACTTCCTTTAGTTATAAACCATTATCAGTTTTCTACAATGAGAATAATTTCCTTTCTATCTTCTTAAGCCTGTACTTATGATAGAAAAAGAGTGAATAACTTCTTATGGTCTACAAAATACTCTAGGCTTATGTATTTCAAAATCAGAATTACCAAAGCTGCTAATCAGTACCAATGCTACCATAATTGAAAGCTATACTCAGAGAATTATTTTGGTATAAGGATTTTAGTAGGATATATGGAACAAAGACAAACAAAAAATAAAAATCATCATGTACTTAGTTCATGGATGAGCAAACCACAAGTTTCTTCTTCCTGCTGTAAAAGGCAATACTCCTTGTATTACATACCTTGCAAATTATGAAAGAGCAATGAACCTCATTAATGTAGCAGCACATACAAGATTAGACATCTGCAATCTTCATTCTTTTTGTAGGTTTATTGTATTACAACTATTACTTTGATACATAGAAAGAGAGCAAAAGAGAATTACAAGTTATGTTTTTCAGCTTCTTCCAGATTTTTTTTACAAAACTACTATGCCTTGGCTAGCTACATATCCAAAAGATAAAGCAAATGCAGTACTGTAAGTGGTTATCAAACAGTACTAGACCAGATTTACCAGCATTAAGTTCTCATTTGCTACATAATTAGCATTATTCAAATGAAGACACTCTTGATAACACAAAATATGTTACAATATTGTCCTCAGTCTGACTATTTCTGAAGCAAAACACACTGTTTATATGAAAAGTTGTAGGTAAGATTTTCAGAGGTATGTTCTACACTGCCATTAATATAGCAGAGCTTCATCAAGCTCAGTAACACAGGAGTCTGAGGATCTTATTTCATATTACAGAACAGACCATTTATTAAAAAGTGGAGTCTTAGATGAGAAGGAGAAAGAAACTGTTAAGTTGATGTGAGCAAAGGAAGCCACTTAAAGCTGGATAAAGGATACCATGTAGCTATTGAGCATCCACCTAGTTTAACTGAAGTAGCGCACAGAGGGCAGAGGGGCTCAGGTGGCTGGACAGAAAGTTCAATTTTGTTTCTTGCATCAAAGCATAAGCCAACTATGCCAAACCACTGGCAAGGAAGGCCAATTAATCAGACTCTCTTAAATCTATGATTCTTTCAATAGTTTGACAAACCTGTACAGAATCCAAAAGCAGTTATCTTACTCCATACAAATCTCTGAATGCATAATAAATGCAAACTAAAATTAAAAAAAAAAAAAAAAAAAATCAATTCTTCTTTCATATTTTTTTTTTTTCCTGGAAACAATATGTAGTTGGAAATTAAAGTTAGAGGTTTTACTGGTGTCATCAATACAGACAGAAAACTACAACACTGGGGAAAAAAAAAATGTACAAAGTTCAATGTGGAGTATTATGAAGTATAAAGCAGAAATTATCTTCAAGCCTACATTTGGAAAACTTGGAATATTCTGGAAGGACAGCCCTGTCCTGTATCTTCAACAGGCACTGGTACTTCACAAGCAGCTGCTAAAAATCCTGCCCTCTCTCTGCTTCGTCTCCCATGTTTGTCTGGCCACCCTAGTCAGATATCTCGTTCGTGCTGAAGATGTCTGTCATGGGAACTGTATGACTATACCTGGCTCAATCAGAAAGAAAACTATTGCTTCATACCAGATACAGCCTAGTCCGAAAAGCTGACCAGTAGCATGGACATTAGATGCTTGAACAACAGCTCTTACAAGCTTAGATTGCCTCCTAAGCAAACATAGCTTAGTGCTGAACTTACAAACAGTAAAAGATTTTGGGATATTTCCAATTTAAAAAGAAATAAATAGATTCTACTTTTATTTTCCTGCCCCAAAATAAGAATACTTTCGGAAAAAAAAAAAAAAAAAAGAGTCATAAATAATAAGTTTGTCAGAAAAAAGAAGTTTCTAACCAGCTTCAGTAATGCTCTTTTACATTCTTCCCATGTAAAAGAATGTAGAGTGGTGGAGCATTGTATTAACTGCAGAAGTATGGTACTTGAAAATACTGGAAATGAAGAGACTAGAATGAATACAGTAAGAATATTAATTGTAACTTTTTAAGTATAATTTCTTTAGGATCATAAATTTTATATAAACAAACTATAAATTATATATCGACTCTTATAAAATCCAACATTTCAGTTTTAAAAATACTCAGGAAAAAGCTAAATTGGACTAGTTTTTCTAAACATTTACTTTTTTTCCCAAGTATAAGGGTATATAAAGAGTTTTAAACTGAAAAACACTAGATTTAGATTAGATGTAAGGAAGAAATTCTTCCCTGTGAGGGTGGTGAGGCCCTGGCCCAGGTTGCCCAGAGCAGCTGTGGCTGCCCCCTCCCTGGAAGGGTTCAAGGCCAGGCTGGACGGGGCTTTGAGCAACCTGGGCTGGGGGAAGGTGTCCCTGCCCGTGGCAGGGGGGACTGGAACTAGGTGATCTTTAAGGACTCTTCCAACCCAAACTGTTCTATGATTCTATGATAATTCCTTCTTTTTGTGCTTTGTGCAAAAAAAGAAAAAAAAAAAAAAAAAAAAGAGAAAAAAGTGACTACTACAATAATTAGCAGCCTAGCTTAGAAGTTTTATGTAAACTTCTCTGTGTCTGCTTTTAACCCAATTTGATTTCACATTGATCATATCATCATATTATTAACATAGAAAGAAGGGAGGTAGAAGTTACTCACCTTCCCTCCCCACCTCCCCCCCATATCTGCCCATTACATAGAAAGAAGGAACATGAGTACAGCACTTCTTCTTATGATACCCATTGAAGGGTAATTTCAGTGCTAACATGAAAGTGGCGAAATTTTGAGAGCTTCTATTAAACAAGTTTCCAGCATTTTACTTTCTTACTTTCTCCTACAGTAGCTATAAAACTGAAAACCCAAGTTGTATCAAAGTGTAACCTTAAATCTACAAACATTCATTACATTTAACTTTTAATTTTTGGTACACACTTCTGATACATGCTTGACATTAGACTGTCCCAGGAATGTTCAGTAAGCCACAAGACATATTGTGGCCCTGTACTGTTCTATTTCTTCTCTACAAAAGAAATCTCCCACAAGTATTTCTCCTTCTTGCTCCACCTTGTAATATGAGAAATCCATATTGATAATTTTGCATACATATCATTGAAGAAAACTAACGTGAAAGAAAAGCAAACAGTTTACAAAAGACTGAAGATTTTTTTCATCTGGACAACAAGCAAGTAAGCATAATTCTGAAATGCTTAATCAAGTCTCACACAATTATACACAATTTATTTTCTGCTTTTTATCATTATCAGTATGATAATCCATCCTCCAAAAAAAAGTAGTTACAGTACATATTTACAATGTCTCACAGTGACCAGACTAATAGTTGTATTAACTGAAGAATTATTTATGTGGTGGATTTCTCTAGATTATAGTATTCTTAGTAAACTCATGAAGTGAAAATAGAATTAATTAATTTGATCAAGTTTTTCCAGTTTGTATTGAAATACTTCCCAAATGTTTGCATGTTGTTGAAAGTAAATTATAAATTCCCCAAAGCAGGGTTTATTCAGGAGTAAACATGCATGCACACATGGACAGGAAGGTGCTCATCCCCCAATAAATTATTTATTTGTTCACTGTACTGCAGGGAGCATGTCTTCATTAGATGACAGATTGTGTTCAGCCAACGTGAAGTATTTCTAAACCTGAGCCATACGCTAGAACTATAAAGCAATCCAGTTGGACTAGATCAAGGAGGTTGCAGAATTAGGAGCTATAGGGGGATGACTGCACCTCTTAATTTCTGTTGCAGAAAATATCAAGATGTCATGATTTTTGGCAACTGTAGGCTCAGAATTTTCTACAAGCAGTCTAATTAGCCCTCGCAAAGGACACTCTTTCAGAGTATTATGCTAGTGTCTATTTCTGGTCATATTAGCTCTTTTCCAGAGGAAGATTACCAAGCTAAGAATTTTCAAATCACCAAAATTATGATTTTATTTTTGGCTTATCCAATGCAGTAAGGAATGCAATCACCCTTCTGTATAGTAACATCTGTATAATAAGCATTGCCTCACAGTGAGTGTGCCATACTCTTCAATATTAATGAGAGGCAATCTGCCAAGTTACAGATTTCAAAAAACACTGAACTTCACTTGTATGCTGAGCCATATAAATGATTCTATTCTGGGTTTATCAAGACGCTTTAGATATCCCCAAAAAATTCAGTTTGTGAACTGTCAAACATCAAGCCAGACGGTAGCTAAGCTATCATTTTATTTAAAATGTAGTATAATTCTACAACATACTAAAAATATATTTGTCACCAGTTAGAAATTATGCTTACCTTTGGCTAGAAGGATTCCCAAAGGATGCCAACTTGAGTCACTTTTTATGTTTTCAGTAAAATGTAGATACCTGCAAGTCAAATGAGAAAGGTTTCGGTATTTTTAGGTGAACATGTCCACTAACAATACTAAGGCATAAGTAAAACCAATAATCTTAAATGAACGCTTCTGTAAAATGAGGCTCTACTAATTTATACATTAAATTAAAATATAAAAAAAACTCAATTACTTTAAAATTCAGCATAATGTAACACATACCATATGTGTGTGCTGAAACAGATAATTTAAAGCTGTTTTCTGTGTAAATTCCTGGAAATAACCAGAAGAAAATCTTTGCTAGGGGAAGAGGTCATGAACCAGTAGCTGCTGAACCATCAGACAATTTCATTATGGCTCTGCTTCAAAGTTCATAATAAAGGGTCCACAGCTACTCCTAAAATTGTATTATAAAAAGCAAGTAGCTTAGTAATATTTTCAATTACAAGTATGAGAAAAATTTTCAAAGTTCCATAAAATGTTTTGAAGGAAGATAGTAGTCAGTTCATCCAAAAAGTTTAGAAACAATCAGTAAGAATCTGTGGGATGACTCAGAGACAATAGACAGTATCTAACCATGTAAACTTTATATTTGACATTTTTATATTTACTCCTGAACGAAGTAAAATAATACTATATGTAAAGTAAAAATATTTTACATAGGTCTGTCTGATCAACATACAGAAATATAGAACATAAAACTAATATGCACCAATAAGGTGATTTGCTTTCTATTTCACACCTGTGCCAAGACAGTTTCAAAGTGAGTTCATTTTAGCATGACCTCAGATAGTAAAATCTAGCTTGAAAATACACAATGTAACATTCATATTGAAAGAAAGGAAAAAGAAAACACACACAGCAGGAACAGATGTTATTTCCTGTACTAAATCACCACCATAGGGATAAAAATAATTCTAGTAAGTATTTTACAGAATAGTGCATACAATGGACAAGAACACAAAGCCTCAAAATCCTAAATCAACTGTAAATCTAGGCATTATAGACACCAGTAACATAAACAAACGAAAGTCCATTCAGATGGAATGCAGGACGGTTTACTACTATCCTTACTTTAGGCCTAGAAAACCTAAGCAGCCATTAAAGTCTACTTTTATCAGTATGCTCACAGTAGCAAAAACTTCTTGGTGTAGTTATAACCTAGAGCTGAAGCAAACACTTTTGCCAGTGCAGCTTTTATGGGAGAGCTAAAACAAAACTAAACTACACCAGTAGTAGTGTTGCCCAACATCATTAGATAACTAATCTGTTTGCCAACAGAAGACACAATTGAAAAACCAGGTTATTAAAAAGAAAAATGTCATTCCTAACCTAAAAATTGTATCTGAAGAAGACAAATTTCAAACATAAACCTCACTCAAGTAAAAGCTGAAACTAAAGCCAGAGACAAAACTTTTTTATTCATGAATCCTGGAAGAAACACAGTAACAACCCATAAGAAATATGAGTATCCAAATTCTAAACAATCCTTGCATATGGTAAAACAAACAAACAGCTGAAGAATGAAAGGAAGTCCAGCGGGACAGATTTGTTTTCTCACCTAGATTATTGCTGGGAGCAAAACTATGTATCTTTGTACAAACTGTAGGCATGTATTTTATCATGTAGGCATGTATTTTAGTCTAATCTGACAAACTGAAGACAACAATTTAAAACAAGGATTACGACAATTTATAAATGATACACATACTTTCTATATAGGTACAAGTCCATAGTGTAGTCTCATAGTGTCACTGCAAGATGGACATTTGTTTCAATGTAAAATTCAAATTGATTCATAAACTAAATCAAATATATATATATAAACACACAAAAATATTCAATAAACCTTTCCAGACAGATAAGAATAATCAAAATCCATCCTTATTTTCTAGTTGGAGTGTCTGGATTCATAAATTATATTATCTGGATAAGAGGAAACATCAGCCATTAGTCAGCACTGAGGGATAACCATAAATGTAAATAAATAAGAAAGCAATTGCAAAAATGGAAAATATTTTTTTTAGAATGGCTATGGAATCTGGTCAATTTCCCAAAAGAAGCTGGTTTCAATTTTCTGTAAATAATTTTATGAAAATATTATCATTATTAGTGTTGTCTTACAAAAAAAAAAAAAGGTATCTTCATACATTGAAAATCACTAGAAGAGCAAGCTTCAAAATATCTGTCTCAGAGACAACTTCCAGATCGATTATTTATGGGAGTAGAAAGTGGAATCAATGATCCATAGTTTAAAGTAGGATTTAGAGGATTATGTAGCTCTTTTGTGAGGCAGTCAAATAGGAAAACACTAGGTTTTGTCCACAAATTTTTTTTTTATATCAAGTTGTTACACAGAACACTGCATCAAGAAACAAAATATATTTTAAAATATAAAAGAAAAAGAATTTCCTATATTTTTAAAATTCATGATTCCATCAGCATTCTAAGAGTTTTCTTCCTAACATTTTGCCCCTACATTCATTAAGATCTACAAATGGGAAAAAAAAAATACTCAAAACATAAAATAATGTATGCTCTTTTAAACTCACATAAAGTAACAAATTCTGAATCAGAAATCAGAAGTAACTATGCCTATTTTCTTAAATGCACTTTAAAACTTATTTGCAGCATTAGATGCCATAAGAATCCTGTGTGTAAGGCGATAATCATACATCTGTTTTTCCTGGACATCTCATCTTTATTCTCCAGAAGTAATACATGCATTTCATTTGCTGGTTTGCTAGCCTTTTTGTTTTCTAAATGTCCTCTGGAATTGAAAACTAGAGCCTTGATTCTACAGGGAATGTTACTGAGGAAGCCAACTTGGCCAATGACAAGGCAAAGAAAAGTTCACATAAGATATCTGAAAACGCAGGGAGAAGTAATTCCTAAATAGACTAGGATGGCCAATCCTCATTAGTACTCCTGCTTGGCAAAAGGTGAATTCATAACTGTTGCCTGCCATATACTGCACTTCATTTTCAACTACGAAAACATTAATTTTCTGCATGAATCTTTGGTATTACTTATGTCCAAACTTTTAATATTTTCTATTCCTATTTTGTTACCACAGGAAAAGTGGAAAGAGAGAATAACATCAGTACCAGATGTCCGATTTTCTCTGGGCAAGTTTTCTTTCTCTACCCAAAATAGTTTTGGCTATGCAGAAGAAACTGATTCCAGAAAGAATGGGCAGCATCCTAGTCGGGAGAGTCTATTTCGAAGCAGACTTCCTAGTGCTCTGAAGCACCGTACAGATGGTCACTGCAGAGATAACCTCCTCAGCAAGCTCAATAAGTCCAAAGTATCAACTTGCCACAGTCTACACAGTAAATCTGATGTACCCTGGACATGCTCGACTTGTATAGGATCCATATTTCTGCTGGGATATCTGAGGGAAAACAGGAGAACTTTCATGGGGAAGAAGAAGCAGCAGTAAATCTCTGAAAGATAAACCTAGCAAATCTACTATGAAAGTTTGATTCAAACTCACATACATACAAAAAGAAGATAGATTGATTACATTTGCAAGATGTATAAGGAAAGAGTTTCTTACATGTGAAATATAAACCTAAGAGTTTCCTCATTAAAGAATACTCAGGACAAGAATCTAATTCTATCCGAGATCCCTTTCACTTTGAAAAAAACATGATGTTCAGAATTATACATAGTCTAGCAAAATAAATTGTACATAGTACCATAAAGACTAGCTAACGCCTTGTTGAGTTATTGAGTCTAGATTGTAGGATACTATTGCCATTTGTTTCTTCAAGACTCCAAACTTTTAAGAAGAAATCTTATGCTTTCCTCTATACCTAGACAAAGTCTCATTCATGACTGCAGTAGCTCTTCTGGTAACACTTTACCTAGAATGAAGAAATAATTCAAAAGTACTAAGAGAAAACAAACAAGCAGGCAGATATTTCTGGCCTAGAAGAAAGGAAAACCAAATATGAGCAAAGGAATCATTCCATTTCTTCTGTAAGGACAAAGACAGAAGACATGCTGCATTCACTGAGACATGGTAGAAGATAGACCACTCTCAGTTGCCATTTACATACACATACTCCAGTCTTATTTGCCAAATATCCAGACATTAGGATTTCTGTGTGATGAACTGGATTCATCATGCAGGGGTTAAAAAAAAAAAATTCTATAACAGGGAACACTGCTGTTAAGGCTTTTTGTATTTAATACCACTTTTGAAACCAAAAGTGGAGTTCAGAATCTATTAAGCAAGCAAGATTTTTTACTTTCTTCATTTCCATGTTTACAATTGCCTTTTTTTGGTATTCAAGTATTAACTACCTTTAACATATGGAGCAGAAGAAATGATACAAACCGCTACAATAAATTTTCATTATCAAGTGTGACTACAGTAGAAGAACTGCAGATAAAATAGACACAGCTAATGAACAAGTAATATTGTATGCATATTTTTCTCTAACCTGCTCAGTTCTATTGGCAAAGCTATTATCTGTCCCATCAGCTTATATATACACCGGAGGTTTCAAGAAAGCCAGAGTATTCTATAAGGCTTAAGCAGAATTTAGAGTTGAACATCTAAATCCACAATTCTTACTGGTGATAAAGGTTATTGCTAGTGCTACAGAAGGTGAATGAAAATCAAATATCTACTCACAGAAATGAATTTTCTAACACAGACAAGAATAAGATACCAGAATTATAATTAATATATTTCAAAGGAGTAGCAAAACTTTGAAAATATATACACTCTATATGTACATTTGAAACCATTACTTTAAAGAAAAGTCCAATCATGACATTTCTCTAGCAAAGGCAACTGTATTTCAAAGACAGCCAGCTGGAGGACAGATGTACAAAAGTAACTTGACCCAGTAATTAAAAGTACAAGAATCAAAAGTGCTTGTTTTTAAATAAAAGCCACATTCCATAAGCTCTTTGCTTTTATTTTGAAGTGTAGCCCGTATCTTATCAAGTTCTTACAATGATCACAGGTTACACATCGGATTTGGGATCAAACCAAAGCACTCCATGTCCTAACTCCTG